TCTATGGAGACCCTTTCCAGAGCCGTGTGGACTTTGGGCAGGGGACTGGGAGCCCAGTGTGCTTGGCACAGGTGAAGCAGGTGGAGCAGGGAGTCCAGACAGCCACTGTCAGAGCCAGTGGGGTAGCCAGTGGCAAGCCCGAGCCTGCCGCTGGCCCCCAAACCAAATTTGCGAGGTATGGCGTGCCAGGCCAGATGGCAAAGAAGGATGTGCTCCTCACACAGACTGGCGGGGTGCAGAATGCCGGTGGCCTTCCACAGTCCTTCCCGCCAGAGCCGGGCTCGGAGGTGTACCGGGCAGTGCCGGTGGAGCTGAAGAGCCAGAGCCCTCTCCTTGCCCTAGGCGGCAAGAAGTCCCAGGTGATGATGGTGCAGATGGAGGAGGCAGCTACTGGCCCAGTGACCAAAGTGCTGAAGGAGGAGGCACCGACCAATGTGCTGGACCTCACAGGCGTGAAGCCAGAAAGCCAGGTGGCCTGCTGTGACATGGTCTACAAGTTCCCCTTCGGCGGCAGCTGCACCGGCGCTTTCAACCCCACCTCTAAGATGCCAGAGAAAAAAGCTGGGGAGGCAACTGTGGCGCCTGGACGGAAAGCCAGCGGGCCCCTCTATGGCAGCAGAGAGCCAGAGCTGCCGGAGACCTTCCCCTACCGGGAGCAGCCGGCCCCAGCACCTGCACTCTATGAGGAGCAGAAATTTTATGCAGCTAGCGCCTTTGGCCGCCTCTACTCTTCCATGTCAGACACAAACCTCTCTGAAATTGGGATGGGCTACTACCACACGAAGGGGGATCAGCCCTTCCCCTCCCCGGCGGGTGATGCCGCTGTGGACCTGAGCACCATGAAGCACTCCTACAGCGTGGGCTTTGCTGAGGGGGGTTACCTGGGCCAAGGGCTGCAGTATGGCTCCTTCTCCGACCTGCGACAACCTGGAGAGCTGCTGAGCCACCCATTCCCCATGCGGAGGTACAGCTCAGCCTCCAACATCTACTCCGACTACCGTTTCTCGCCCCGGGGGGACCTGGCCAGCTTCCAGGAGTCCAGCCTGGCCCACTACAGTGCCACCACAG